GGGGGGGTGGTTACTTGAATTATTTGTTATTCTTTTGGACGTGTGTGAAATGTAAAACCATCTTTTCTTCATGCAATAATGCTTTGCTATATTTTTGGCCCAATTATAAGGGGGAGGGGTGGGGTTCAGGTTGCCAGGATGGGTTTTTATAATCAGTATTGTTTTGTTCCGGTGTTTGGTTTTTTATTTGTTTGTTTTGTTCATTTCTTTGGGGAGGATGGGGAAGGGGATTAAGTGCTGTATTTTATTTTATTTCATGCCTTAGTCTGTTTCAAATTTCTTTTAAGGTCAACATCCCATCAGTGCAAAAATGTGTTGTCACTTTAGGATACGCGTACTTACAGCAATCATAATTCATTATTTTATTTTTTTTATTATTCATGCCTATCTATGTATACAGAATAACAAACAGACGGGCGTGACCATTTTACTATAGTGATTTGTTTAACCTAGATTGCTTCAGATGGTTTTCAAGCCTTTCCTCAACGTTTTGTTAGATCCAGAATTTGATTTATTCACAACTCCGGCCTCTTAGATAACCTCAATTATCCTCAAACAGGACGTAACAGACCGAGACTCAGACACATCCTAGAGGAAATCATAACAGCAGTCGGGTCATGATGCCATCAGACAGTATGCCGACGTCCGTTTTTATACGGGAAAACTAGAATGGTCAGTTGGGACAGACGGTTACATTAACATTAAGTCGTGGCAAATCTGCCCTGGCCATCTTGCCATAATTAGATCATCTCGTGCTGGCGTGAGCCAGGAACCCCGCGGCGTGTCTGTGGAGACAACGGGGCAAAAACTTATTGTGGCCGGAAATTGGCGCTGAAAAGATTACAGTCACGTCTTCCGGGGCGTGAGGGCGTTGTTCTTTCCTATATCATATTATCCGTCTCCGTGTTTATCCTTGGCTTCCTTCGTCTGTTTGTTTATTTGTTTATTTTACTAACTATTTGTCCACCTGTTACTTTTTCTGTCCAAATATCTATCTGCCTATCAATCAGTCTGTCCAAACATAACATGCCTGCCTACCTGGTAGTTTATTTTGGCCGAAATCTATCGACCTCACAATTCGTCTCCGTCTTCACGTCGATGTTTTGGTCTATCTGTCAATCCGTTAGCGTATTAATACATGAAAACTACACTTTTTCATACAGCAAATATTTGAGGTGATACTCAAAAACTAATGTCATTTCTGGAATCAGCGACCCCAAATTAGCTTAAATCAAGTCTTAAAATGTATGCCACAAAATGTATGTTGGACAATGTTATTATCATTAGCAGTAGTAGTAGTAGTAGTAGTAGTAGTAGTAGTAGTAGTAGTAGTAGTAGTAGTAGTAGTAGTAGTAGTAGTAGTAGTA